GGCTTATTTGATTAAGTTAAATTGAAATGTGGGTTGTAGAAATTTCAACATTTGCTTCACAAAAAATTTTCACAATTTAATTTCCAAAACAAAAAAAAGCTTTTTATTCTGTAATTAGGGGATGAGCTTAAAGAATTTATATGAAGTTTTTAGTGATGAAAATTTCTCAAAAAATCAAAACAATCGCCAAAAATTTAAGATTTACGAGCCACAGTTAGTAAAGGAAACGCACAAACTATTAAGGAAGACTTCAGATTTTTGACTTCTGGGTTGAGATTTTCTTTTTGATACACTTTTTCCCCAAAATTTTGAATGTGAACCAAAAATTTCGACACTGAAAACCAAATCCGGAGACGTAAATTTCAGGCTTAAGGACAACTGCAGCTCACTAAAACCAATTAAAACCAGGTTTTGAGTTGTTTGGAGTTCAATTCTTTTGCTATCAATAAAACTTTTGATGCTTTAGAAAAACGGCAATCATATAATCAAAAATTTAACCAGAAAATGAATCATTTTACCAGAGCGTTACATAGCTCAAAAAGAGCTTCATGCTTGAAGTTTTGAAACCTAACTGTCATGTGACCCCTAGTAAAGTTGTTGATTTATTAGAATTTTAGTTTATGGTTGTTGTTGGTTTAGTCTAAATTGTTGGAAGTTATTATATGAGATATCTTTCCTTGAAATTTTTTTTAAAACTCAAACTTGAACTTGTCTTGAAAATTAGGCTGTGGTGTCCTTTTCTAAAAAAAAAATTGACATCGATTCACCATTTTTAGTTTCTGTGTTCATGAAATTTTCGTTAAATATAGAAATTGAACCTTAATTTTGGCTCAGGTCTGTAAAACGCACTTTATTTGTGCTTTTGACTTGATTTATTTTGAAACTAAAATCTAGGGAGAATTGATATTTCCGATGTGTTTTCTTACAACTTTTTTGTACCAGCTCCTTCCTTAATCTTAGAGTATAATTCCCTCTTTAGTGACGCCTGTGAATATAATTAAATTGAGATTATATTCATGAGAAACTGAGGATAAACTTCGAAATGAGGAAGAGTTTTAATTATTGCGAGCACAATTATCGATCTGATTATATACTTCGTGAGTTGAATCAGTTTATCAATGAACTGATGTGATTGTACACTTAATTTGTGTATAAGATCACTTACACTTTTATTTTAAAATGTTTCAATATTTAACAAGACTGCTAGTATCAGGGCGAAGCCCTGAATGTTCCGACTGCCTTTTAAGGTTTATGGAGCAGTAATAACATAAATATCAATAACAAATTAAATGCAATAAAAAAATGAAAATTTTTCTTTTAATTTGAAATTTTTTATATGAAAATCATCTCCCCAAACGCCATAAAAACCACAAGAGAATAGGTTTCGCTCCTTGTAACAAATCAATTATGGCAAATAAACTTCTTTCAACCAATTTAAAACGATTTTAAGACGGATTAACTCTCCGCTTACGCGTTAATAGCGCGAAACATATCGCGCCTTAATTGTCCCAAATTGGCCGAAATGGCAATCTTTAAACCCTCATAACTTTACGAAAAATGATCACAGGTAAAATATCTTTTCAAACTTTAGCTCAAGGCAACAATAGCTTTCGAATGATATAAAAAATTCCGTCAAAAAATGGCTAGTTAAAAATTCGAAATTTGTCTGAAGAAAAAAAAAACCACCCCGAGCACAAATATTCCCTTACTTTCGTATCGAAAGTCGGAACAATAAGTCTTCTGAGAACTTGGGTATAAATTAATATGAATGAAAAAGAGAGCAGTTTATTTAACCTATGATTTCAGAGCTTAGTTAGTCAATACATCCAAAAAGTTTGATCCAAAAAATAGTTTGATCCAAAAGTTAGTTTGATCCAAACATAAATCCTACTACTCGATTTAGCAGAGATCGATTATTTTATTGGAACTATTTTAATATTAATAGGTTGCGCTAGGTTCAACAACTAGTGTCAGGTAGTAACTGTCCACGATGGTTTGCGAGGCAAGAATTCGTTATCTAAATTTTTGTGCAAGTTTCTGACAATAAAGCTGGCAATTACTTCCAGGCCCTAAAGTTAGATCCACAAAAGTCTCTGGTTTTTTTTAGAATGAAAAACTAGCTGATACCTCTTCTTAAGCTCTTAATGGTTTTTCGCTTGCTCGTTGTTTGGTGTTTGTCAGGTTCAAAGAGATCATAAGTTTTGAAAATTGGTTCTCTGCTACTGTTTGACCATTTTTACTAAGAAACAAAGACCCGTTCAGATAGCGTCACTCAAATTTTTAAAGAATTTTAAAGTAGCGCTATATGCCTTATGTCATAGATCTTATCGATCTGACTTAGTGTTAAATGAATTAGATATAAAAGCACGCAAATTAAAAGGGATGGATATATAGATAAACTGAGGGTATAAAAAATGAACAACTGTTTTCAATATGCAACTTATTGAGGGAGTCGGGTTTAGGTTGAATAAATTATGTCTTATATCAATATTGGAAATGTTTAATTCTACAAAAGATTTTGCTTAAAAGCAAAATTTTTCTGAAGAAACGAAGAATTGTAGTCTTAAATTGACTACTCCAAAAACAATCTAATTTTACATTTATCAAGCCTTTGATTTGCACATGTTATTTTTTTCACTGTTTTTTGATAAGCTTCAAAACGGTTGGTTGCTTGTCGCTTTATTGTCCGGTATTCAAGGCGAAGCAAAAAAAGTCCACCAATCTGGTAAAAAAGTGTTTTTCAGACTCAGAACAAAGCAGGGAAAAATACGAGTCCATATGTGAAAATGATTTTAATCTGACTGGTATTTTAAAAATTAGAAAAGTAATTTTAGCCACAAGAAAGTTACTCTAGGATACGAAATACTACAGTGGAATTAATAACTTTGGACACAACAAATAAAAAAGATCGTTTTCTTTGTCTGAAAGGTCTGAGATTCAAATTAGCTGAATTTCTTAGCCCGAGTTGGCTCGGCACCAATTTCCAATAGTCGATTATAAAAATCAATTCTCTCAAAAAAGAATATAAAATCGTGTTTTTGTTGTCGTTCGAAAGTTATGGGAAACCTCTGTGTACTTAAGTAATTATCGGGAGCTCCAGGCAACGCAAAACGAGTACTTTAAAGACACCACTACCCCAAATTTGGGGTGTTTGGTCTGAATTGACCCCATTGCAATTTTCAAGCCAGAAAACTTTTGCCAAAAATTTTTGAAAATAAATCAAATCGACAACACCAATTTGAAAGATCTGTCTTCTCAACCCAAAACTGTCGTTTGCTTGGATAAAGTTACTAAAATTCTCGTCCGATAACAAAGCTCAAGAACAGTTCTGGCTCAATTTTTTCACTAATTTCATTGCAGAATTTATACAAATTGAAGTGAAAAACGCATTTTCATTCAGTTTCTTAGCAGAATTGATCGCAATGAAAAACGCCCTTTTATTCCGACCATTTGACAAATGGGGAGGGACTTTGTATTCGGGTGTGTTTTATTTTGTCTTTTTTGTTTTCCACGCAAAAGCATCTTCCACAAATAAATTTTAGAATGGGTTGAGTTGAATGTCATCTAAAAACCCTTTCAGTCGAACGAAACTAAAATAATTGAAAAAAATTTTCAGTTTCGAAAAAAAACGGTTTGAAATTTTTTTGCTTTTGGTCTAATTTCGAGCTAAATTGTCAACGTAGGGTTTGCAGGCTTCCCGGGTTGACGAAAAAAGCTTATCATAAAATTTTCATTTATGGAAAAATGCTAACCATACACCTTTCATGCATTTCATAAGTACAGAAAATTGCATGTTTATTGATTTTTTATATATGGAAATTGTTCGACTAGTATTTTTCCAACATTTATTTTTTTACAATTAAATTTTCTAAAAGTTTTTGGTTGTGTTCGAAACCGAACACAAGTGACAAAACTTTAGTTACTCAAAGTAGAAAAACCAAAAGTTAGCCTGTCTCGCATTAAAAAAGCAATGGAAACGGCCTGAAACCTCTTAAGTCTGTCTTACACAAATAATATAACAAAAATATCAAACTTTTACACTTTGGAAAAAAATTTGCAACGATGATTACTTTTAAAATTTGAATTTTTAATTTATCAGACATCGATCAAGGCATGCATAAACATACCATACAAAACAAAATAGGAGTTTTTGAAAAAATTTTATAAGCAAAAAGGAAAAAAGTTTAAAGTTAGTGTATCCAGGACTACGTTAAGCACACAAAAAAATTAAATTTTGCCAGCAAAATTTGTTTTTTTTTTCGAAAAATGTTTGTTTGAATACACAATTCGATTTGCGGTTGAAAAAATTTGGGGCAATTTCAAAAATTTCAAATCGGTCATCAAAAAATACTAGTCATACACTTTACATATATGAAAACTGTATGAGTAGCATTTTTTTTGACAATTTTTTCTTTTTTATTTATTACGATGCACCAAATTTTATGCCAAAACAAGAGAAAACTTTTTCAAAAATTCGATGGCACATGCAAAATGTGGGAAATTTGTATGACCACTATTTTTTCATAGAAAGTCAACCCGTGTTACAATAGTTTATTTAAGCTTCATTTAAGCTGTAAGCTAATTTTTACTCAAGTAAGGTTATTTTTTGAATTGTATAGCGCCATTTTAGGAATTAAAATCTTAAAAAACCTAAAAATTTCTGCAAAATTTTTTTTAAAGATTCTTTTTCGTTCTCCTGCTATTTTCCTACAGAAACTGTTTTCCAATTGGCCTATTTGACTATGACTGTCGAATATACCTAATTTGTATTTTTAGTTCAAATTTTTTCATCAGAAAACCCCCTGCGAATTACGTACTACGGATTAACGGTATACCTCTTTCGAAATTGGATTAATAATGTCGAAACAAATGTTGTCTAACATTGAATTCAGGCGATGAAGTTTAATTTGGTAAATGCCAGGAAGATGTCGGCTGAATTCGGTGATCATGATTGATGCGATGAATCATCTAAAGAAACATAAGCCTACAATGCAATTAGATTAATGCAAATTTACCTTTTGCAGTCAAAACTAAAGTTAAATTGACATTTTGTGTCATAATTCAATCACAAATATGTCAGATTCAAATAATAAGCCAACCACGAGTTGAAAACTAAAGAATTAAATTAACCCAAGGCTCAAAAAGGACAGCAAATCCTTCAAACAGAACCAAACTTTGGTTCAGCTATGGAGACTAGAAGTTCCAGACGAAACCTTCTGGACGTTGTTTTTAACACTGGTGATGAGAACCACAATGATGGCGGCTGGTCTAAGTTTGCAATCGGAGACGTCAATTACGCATTGTTTTATTATGCAATCAATACTATTCTCGCCGTTGTTGGAGCTTTTTTGAACCTGTTGGCGTTATGCGTTTTACTACAACCTTGTTTGCGGTCAAAGGGCAAATTCATACTTATAATCTCAATGTGTGTAGTAGATTTGTTCACATGTGTGAGTGTAATAGTGTATCTAAATTTCAACTTCGAGGAAAACGGAGTTCCAGGGAACAATTTCGTGGGAAACTTCCTCTGTCGCTTTATGTTGAATCGTTATTTCACTTACTGGCTGTCTGCCATTTCTGCGTGGCATCTGGTCATGGTCTGCATTGAGAGATATATTTCAGTCAGATTACCAGGTTAGTTGTCCGTGAACTTTGAAACTTCACCCAAACAATTGAGCGCTGGTCAGCTGCCGAAGTCTTCGTCCCCTAAATGGTAACATCGATGGTCCGTTTGTTACGCGCTTTTTCGAAAATTTTGAAAATTTAGCCGACTTTTTTTTAAAGTCGACCAGTTTGATTTTCCGAGCTCTCCCAAAATAGAATAAGGACCCAAATTTGTGAAAAATTTTCAGCGCCACAGGCAAATTTATCAAGAAAAAACCGGCTAAAAAGGCGTTTTTAGGCACTTTAAAAAAATTGACTCACAGAAGTTAGAATTTGTCTAACTAGAAGTGAAAAGGTAAAAGAAGTTAGACAATGAAAGTATCAGCTACATAAATAGCTATGAAATTTTACTTGTAAAACTAGATCCCTTTAAAACTGCCAAAAGTTTCAACTTTTAGAAGTCTGACGTAATTTAAATTCCGACAAATTCCAGAAAAAGCCCACAGGTGTCGAAAAACTTGGCATTTTTTGGCTGTTGTTCCTGCTCCCATAGAAAGGGATAAAATATGTTACTTCGAAAATTTAGTTGACTTTTAATGTGATTCAAAGTTGTTAACTTAATTTCTTATACCATCTTGAAGGTATTGCTGCCGTAATATCAATTAATTTAAATTTGCCAATTCAGCTAATTCGCGAGTAATTAAAATGTGTGACATTTCAATTTTACTAAAAATGCGTAGCAAACGTGGTGAAACAAGCCCGCTCAGAAATCATTGTACAATTGAATTATTAACCCTATGTAAGCAGACCTTGTTCTAGCAGATACCAATAAATTGCTCGAAGTTTTCATTGAACGTGGGTGGAAAGCTTCCAAAGGAATTTTTTCAAACTTTTTAGTTATATATTTTTTGTTCAATTTTTTCATTTTTTAAAAAAATTTTCAAAGTTTATTTACAAAAACCATAAGATCAGTCCCAACATTAAAAATTCTGTCCTCAAGCGACCTTTGTAGTTTTTATTATTGAATGTCATTTAAATCACATTTTTTTTTTCAAATTGTGTGGTTTTTTATCGCGGTGGGAAGAGAGAATCTGAACAAAAACCTAGAAATTTTATATATTCAAAACTTAAAGTAAGCTAGACATGTTCGACATCAGTTTTCAGTCAAAACCGAACAAAAATTAATATAAAAAATTAAAAATATTTGTTTTTTTCATGAATTTTTTCCAGATTTTTGATAACAAACTTTATTACCGAGAAGGCGCAAAAGCACTTTGCATTTTTTTTAGTTGAGGGACAAATAGCTTAGATTAACGCTTATCCGCCTATCATATACATGCTCTCTCGCTTTATTCGCTCGTAATCAAAATGAAAATAAAAAATTTCAAACAAATTTTTCTTGACAGAGAAAGACGACTGATACAACTTTATAATGATATTTAGTTCGAACTCTTCCGAGATGATTATTATATGTAATGCCTGTTTTACGTGAAACAAAAATGAAAGAAAGAATAAGAAAAAAGTGAACCACACTCAAAGAAAAAGTTCTTCTCCAATTTTAATGATCGTAACAATAATCGCTGCAAAAAAAATCATTTTCTCAGCAGAAAACTAAATCGTTTTTTTTTCACAAGAAAATTTTTGATTATCAGTTAATTTCTTTACGAGGTTATCGATTGTTTTCGCGTGATCTCGAAATATTTTGAAAAATAATTGTTTTTTCAAATGTTCTGGAACATTTTTTGAAATTTTCAACGTTTTGTTTTAATTTTCAATTTTTTAAAAAAATCTGATTTAGAGGTATCAAATTGTTTTAGAACTTGCTTTTTTTGTTCAAACTGAGAGTAAAAAAGCTTGATACCAATACTTTCAAGAAAAGTTTTTCTGTATACAACTGGGCAACAACATGATAGAAATCTAGACGCCAGGAATCGCGGAGCCTTCGTAAAATTTAGAGGCCACACTGTGTTTTTGCAAACGGATTCCGCAACAAAAACCTCTTTTTGATCTTCCTTGTTTTTTTTTCGTTTTCTTTACTCGTTCCAACAAAAATTTAACAAGTTTAAAGACTTGTCTCTGGATTTCAGAATCCTACACACACTAAATTATACACCTATCCTGTGCACAATTTGGCCTCATTATGAAAACCAAGCGCCGAAAAAGCCAGCTATAATTACCATGGTGTATAAAAATAAAGCAAAAACAAAACAAAAACGTTTCATTTTTTTCAACAAAAAAGGAATGTTTTCTTTTCACTATGTTATTTTAGAAGCTGTTATACTCTGTTTAAATGGTTTTTAAATGACTATCAAACTTCAAACGAATCATTAACTGATCAGTTTACAGAAAATCTGAACACAAAAACCTTCAGAGCAGTTTTCTGGACACCAAAGTTCTACAAAGGATTTTATTTGTTGTTCTTATCAAATATTTTTGTTATCAAATTAAATCAGTTGTTCTTATCACGACTGAAAAAATTTCATAGTGAAATATCACTTGACCAAATCTGTTGTTGATTTTTGGTACCTGTATTTGTGTGTGAAAAAAAAACGCGCCGTATCATGAGTTTTTTGGACTGCAGTAACCTAGAATTAGATTGGAAGCAGCAGTATTTGCACTTTTGAGCTATTTGATTCGGGTTTTTGTTTCTGAGCACAGCTTCTAGTTCGACTGGGAAGGCTGGTAGCCAGTTGCAAACTTCGAGCTACTCGAGCACAGATACAAAGTTCTATGTAAAAAAGTGCTAATTTTTGGGTCTCATTTATATGGAGTGCAGCCAGTATTTAGACAGCCGCGTATTCATACTCGTCAGTATTTAGACAAATACTGTATGAACCAATCAGAATCGAGAAAAGACATATATAATCCAAAATAAATGATTATTATTTATTAATTTCTTCTTTGTCTCGATTCTGATTGGTTGAAACAGTATTTGTCTAAATACTGACCAGTCTGAATACGCGGTTGTCTAAATACTGATATATAACCCATTTATATGTACCATACAAACAAAATATTTTTAAATAGTGCTTTCCAGCTGCCCAATAATTTATCTCGGATATTTTTGTATCAGAAAAAATCGAAACCACTTTCTTCGTAAGTCGGAACAATAAATAAATGCTATAAGATTTACAATTTGGATTATGTTGTATGATTTCAAGTCCAATTTAGCCATTATCATGTATTAAGTGTTATAATTTGAGTTTTGCAAGGAACTAACGAGACGAATACTTGGCCTTAATTTGCCGTAATAAAGTTTGTTTTTGAAGCCATTAATAACCTTTAATTGAATGATTTTAAATTGAGTCAATGTTACGAATCAATCAAACAGTGCAAATTCACGAGGAAAACAAGCATTTGAAGAAACATCAGTTTATAAAGAGTTAAATATATAAACCTGCACAACCTTTTAGAATCATAACTTAGATTCATAATATTTGTGAGAGTGAATTGCAATCTATAAGAAAGTAATTTCATTGTTTTATCGCAGTTGATCGAGATCTTTTCATACACCTCGCTTTTTGTCAATTGAAATATCAGAGATGGAAAGTTTGAAAATATTTTGATTTTTTTCAACGTGCATCAGCTACCAAATAATGGAGTTTAGATCTAGGCGAAAACTTATCGGCATTGTTTTTAACACTGGCGATGAGAACCAAAATGATGACGGCTGGTCCAAATTTGCAGTCGGGGATGTCAATTACGCAACTTTTTATTATGCAATCAATACGATTCTCAGCGTTGTTGGGGCTATTTTGAACCTGTTGGCGTTATGCGTTTTACTGCAGCCAAGTTTAAGGCAAAAAGAAAAGTTTGTGCTCATAATTTCCATGTGTGTAGTTGACTTTCTCGTCTGTGCGAGCGTGATATTGTATCTGAATTTTAATTTCGAAGAAAACGGAGTTCCAGGAAGTGAGTTCGTAGGAAATTTACTCTGTCGGTTTATATTGAATCGGTATTTCACATTCTGTTTATCGGCTATATCTGCGTGGCACGTGGTGATGATTTGCATCGAGAGATACGTGTCTGTACGCTCTCCAGGTATTATTTTAGGCTGAAGTTGCTTTTAGTGATCAAAATGAAATTAAAAAAAATGAATATGAAAAATTTCTTCAGTTTAGTGAACCTTCTGCGTGCAATTGATCAGATTGGGGGATGGGAATCCGCCCTCACCCCTCGAATAAATCATAGACTCGCCGGGAACGCTTCCCATTGTTTTGTATTTTTGATGCTTCTGAGTTCAGTTTGAATTTTAGCAAGTAGGGAACTGATTTAAGCAACCGTTCCAGGCAAAATTCGTGACCAATTTCTATACAGACAAAAATGAATGACCTTAACGCTCTCTAAATTTTAGGACATTTTATCATTCGCAAAGCTAAAACTAACCCAATGTTCCATGAAGCTAGCTTTATTTGATACTGAAGTTGTTTTTTTTAATCCACTGAGAAATCTTAAAAAAATCTATCCAATTTTAAACCTAAAAATCAATCAGATCTACTCGTGTATTACACACTTTTATTATCGGAGAGCCTAGTGCTCCTACCATTTAGCAAACTTTAAAATAATATAAAAGTTTCAATCCGCGAAAAATCAAATTTTAGCGTGAACAATTTCAAAGAAATATCGAGAAAAAACCGCACGACGTAAATTTAGTGTTTTCACTTAGCTTATCGACACTTAAAAACACAAGCTATGTATCAGTTAAGATTTAAGCAAACAAAATAATTGTTTTTGGTTGAACTGAAATGCTCATTACCTCTCGGAGAAATTGTAGCACGTAGCTTCAAAATGGCTAATCTCGTTAACTAAAAAAGGTTGTTTCCTTGAAAATTACACTAAAGTGAGTCTTCTTGTAGATACACATCCAAAAAATCTTAAGAAAAATCATTTGTCTTTTATAGTTTTCACTACCGTTGAGTGTAAAGAGAACTTCTCAACCTTATCGCAAAAAAACCGCCTGGTACGTCTGATATTCCAGCCTGGGCGCTTAAAAACGGTTGCAATGAAAATTACACGCATTTTTTTCAATGATTACCTGATAAATAAAATTTTTCTAAAGAAGGTAAAAAAAAATAATTGTAACTCTATTATATAAAAGTGACGATCTGGAAATACCAGAAAACTACATACTTATCTCAATCACTTGAGCGCTATGAAAAAGTTTGAAAAACTACTGTGTAAACAAATACTTAAATATCTGTTATGTCAAAGCCTTCTAAGCAACACTCGGTATCGCTTTAGATCATCCTATTCAAATTCGAAATCAATTGACAACATTTTCGTTGATAACTCATAATCAGATATCTCTTAGGCTTTCAATTCTTTTGATCATCATCAGTTAAAACAAAATACGAAAAAATGAATTTTTCTGAAATGGCAACAGATTTGATAAGTTAATTCATTTGCTACCGAGTCAAAAAACAATAGTAAATCATAATAAGTCAAGTAATCACTCAATCGGGCTGCATCTCACTCCATCAAGGACACTGTTGTATGGCTTCTTGTTTTCAATTTGTACACCAATGATCTTAACAAGCTACTGACAAACTCGTGCAAAGTAGCGCAGTATGCAGATGACACGCTTCTCATCTATGAAAATACGGACACCAAAACTGCACTAAAAGAATTTGAAAACGGCAAAACTTTATCGATATATTTTCAAAAACACTTAGAACAAGGTCTTGCATAAACAGAGCTGATCATATTCAGTAGCAACGTTCCAGAGATGGAAAACAATTCACTTGCCCTAGACAGAAACAAAATTGAAGAAGAGACTAATCTTACATATCTTTGAATAATTCTAGATCAATTCCTGACATTCTAAGATAAGGCTACTATGATATTAAGAAAAGTGGCCTGTGGAATCAAAACATTGCCGTCAATCAAGAAACTGCTTCCAATTAAAGCAAGATTACTTTTTATAAACATATTGGTCATCAGTCACCTATACTCCTGGTTAACTTTGTTAATAGAATTTGAAAAATTTATCAATTTAATTGTTGGGCAATTAAGACTTGATGTGATTGGGCCAAACTCGATGCATCTTCCGATTTAAACGTGAAACAAAGTTTAACACAGAGGCAAAGCTTCGCTTTGCAAACACTATCTAGAAAACGACAAAAAGCAAAAGCAGCTGTACAAAATGCAGTAAGAAAAAGACGAATTTCGCCTCAAACTCGACTACGTCTCGAATTCGATCTGCGACCTAGAAATTACGAGTCTCACGCACTAACAACTCAGCAACGAACGCTTAATACATCGCAAACACTAGCCACGAATGAAACAGAGAACAGATGCTTTGAAATCGCCAATGCTACAGATCGTGATTATTGCAAAATCGCGATCAGTGGCATTGACTACAAATTTGTGAACATTTTTATTGAAAATTTTTATTTAGAAAAAAAGCTCCTAATAATAACAACACGTACTGCTACCAGCCTATGAGAAAAAAGGTATGAAATAACAATAAAAAAAAACTTAAATATCAATATAAAAAAAACAAACTTTGTCGAAAGTTTTAATGAATAAAACATTTTTGATTTTGAACCTAATTTTGGACTTAATTTTGGAAATCGAACAATTCATTTTAATATTATCGATCAGTGAAATTTCGATGAGATTGACGATTTGTCATCTAATGCTAGAGAAATTTCGTTCAGTGAAATTTCGATGAGATTGACGATTTGTCATCTAATGCTATTTGTTGTGACTTATTACTTTTTAATGTCTTTTTAATGAATCTCGCTGCGGGTCAAAACTGGTTCCATAATTAAATCGTGCTTCAAAAAGAAATTGCAAAAAGCTTCCGCGGTGTCGAGAAAAACTGTTGATTAGCATTGAATGACAAGCATTGTTACCTAGACAAAAAGCGGATAAAAAAGAGGATGCTTAGGCAATATGCCTTAAAAGGAAAGTTTAACCTGCTGCAAGTTTAACAACTTCAAAAAAGTTTCAAAAAATATATTTAAATCCTTTTTGTAGGATCGATTTTTTTGCAATGTTAACTGTCAGAGCATTTGCAAGCGGCTGACAACTTTTTGTTTGCTTAGATTGGTACGACCTGCACTTCACCAAACTGTATCCGTTCAGTTTGATCGCACTAAGTGTCCTCTTGGGCACTGTGTGCATGACTCCCTCCAACGTGACTGCCTTCCGATACGACCCAGTCAATGACTCATGCGTCTACGAGTGGCCATCCAAGTCATTCAAAGTAGCCGCTGGAACATTCCAGTTCACGTTTATGGTCATAGTGCCGCTTGGAATCATGGTGATGTTGTATTATAAACTGTACAGAAGATACAAGAAGTTTGAGTCTCTACTTGCAAATGCTCCTGTCGCATTTGACATCCAAACAAAACAGAAGAATAAGTAAGAGTCCCTCACAGTTTTTTCATATAGTATTTATCATGGTAGCTTTAACAGTAAAATTTTTCGAATCTGGCCTTTTTTGTTTGGGAGAGAACTTGTTTGGGGTCAGAAATCAATCAATGCCATTTATGCGAGACGAGGAAAATGAATTTCTGTATGGTCAACCTAAGAGTAAGCAAGAAGGAAAGATTAATTGATCTTTCCTTATGAAGATAGATGATCAGTTTGATCGCACTAAGTGTATCCGTTCAGTTTCTTTGGAGACTATAGGCTTCTTTGGAGACTATAGAAAAAAACGGTGGAGACTATAGGCTTCTATAGGCTTCTATGATTGAATAAATAAAATGGAAATTCAAAGTCAGTTTTATCTGTTGACCCGTTTCAGATCCCAGAAAGTGTTCTATACAGTACTGGGCCTGGTGCTGTTCTACATCATTAGTTGGGTGCCGAGTGAACTCATGTGGCTAGTGTACACTTGGCAGCTGGGGGGCATTTCAGACGAGGTGTTTGTGGGACTGCCATACATACTCACACAGATGCTCACAATACTCAACAGGTACCGCTTTAAACTGAACTGCAATAAATTCTGTGTTTAACCTAAATCGTAATTATACATTTTTAACAGAAAACCGAAACTAATTTTTCCAAATTCAAGCAAAAAAAAACATCTTAGAAATCAAGAAACAGCAAAAATAAATCCTGAAGAAACGAAACGGTGGAGACTAGGCTTCTCGAGGTGACGGATTTTCAAAATAAATCAAAAATTTTGGCGGCCAAGCGATTTTTTCTATCACCAAGCGACCCTCAAAATTAGTACATTTAGGACGGAACGCTTCGATAAAGAAATTTTACGGTTGTTTCACTGAAATCGGATGTCGTAATAGTATAAAAGTGGTCGGACAGGGTGTCGAATCCGTGAAAGAAGAGCGTTCTCTCCGCTGTGCCCCTTAAATCCGTTACTGACCCCGGGCCTCCGAAATCCAGGCTGTGCTTGTGTAACGAGTCGCACTGAAGCGAAAAAAAAAATAGACATATCCAGCGGTACACAAGCAAAAAAAATGACAGTTTTTATTCCGACTGTCGTGAGGCGACCTTCGGTACCTCTTATCAACTTGTCCTTTTGCAGTCTTGCTGCAGATTTATGTTAATCTCATTAACCAAGGTCATAGTTCTGGCCTATACTAAATACCACGCTGTGCGTGATCACTCTCTATGTTTTCTACATCGCTTGTTAGATGTCCATTTATCTATCTTATCCTCACTGTTATTCAGGATAAAGTTCTGACCTCAAGAATAAATTGAAACTAAGCATCTACTTTAATTCTTGTAACTAACTATTTCATTTAACAAAGCAATTTACTTCTTGCTGAACAACAAAGTTTTCACTCGATATTCTCGGCAAATGTCATGGAGCAGCCAGCAGTTCCTGTGAACGAAGACAGGACTGACCTGTTAGGAATTCCCCTCTTCTGGGCGAAAGCTTCTGTTAACCCGCCATTCCTCTGGGAATCGTGGATAGGCCAATTCTTCTTGGCAGCGGGTCTAAAAGATAACATCAACCCTCACGATCTTCTAGTCGAACCCGTAGAGGTCATCGATGAACCCCCTCCGAAACCAGAGACAGTTGTCACTGGCGAAGACGCTGGAGCGGCTGATGCTTGAATACAGAGAGATCAAGCGGCAATTCGAAGAATAAATGAGCTAAATGTTGAGAGGAGGAGAAAAGGTCCCATAATCAGTCAGAACTGGTACTACCACGAAGCTTAGGCTCGCCTGAAGTCTCGGTTGTTCTTCGCTTTGGGGAACGAAGGAAAGAGACGCTTTGCAGACTCTTTTGCTCACACGGACATCAGCGTCATCCCTTTTCGAGAATTTCACAATGGCTGTGAAACGTTATTCAAGGTGGAACGGCACTATACGGTTGAACGTATCAAGCTTCACAATACAGTATTTATGCTTGATAACGATACTTTCTCGTCATTTTACGCTCGTCTTAGTGCTCAAGTGGCCCTGTGTAATTGGCCCAACGCACAAGAAAGGGCGACACTAAAAGACCTCTTTATTGGACGAATTCAAGATGTAGATGTTCAACAACAACCTAATAAGGCTAAGGCTGATCTAGATGACACCTTTAAACTCGCACTCCAGTGTGAAAAGGGTGCAAGCACATCTGCTCAATTCCAAAAAATACTTCCTCGCAATCAGCATTCTAACGCTATTAAGGTTAAACAGGAATCCACTATCTCGATTCAGTCGTCCAGAGGGAAACGGAACTATCCTCAAAATCAAAACAATCGACAAAACTCACGAAGTAACCAAGGGAATAAGTCAGGTTAATTCTGCGGTAATCCTTTTAGTCCGCATCACCGAAAATTTTGTCAAGCTCGAGAAGTTACGTGTAACCTCTGTAGGAAACGTTGTCATTTCGCAAAGTGCTGTAATTCGTCAAAACGAAGAGTAAATATGGTTCTTGAGAACGAGGAAGCTTCAGGTCCCTCTATAGATTGTAATTTCATAGATGCTAAGCACGACAGTGAACCAAAATATGGGGTCTTACAATTGGAAACCGCAGTCAGGATCAACAGTATTGAAACCCTCAAGTCGAGCAGAGGAAAATCCAGGAGCCTCAGCGTTCAATTGCGTTCAGGTTACAGTTTCTTCTATTCAACTGTTGACACAGGAAGCCCAGTTTCGTTCCTGAACAAACGTACTTGTGACTTACTTTTATAACGAAGCCCGTCAATCGAATTCCAGGACATCACACGATACCCTATCGATACTTTGTATGTTGACTACAATAAGCAACCTATTCGTCTTCTCGGGTCGACTCATATCCCGATTTCTTCTAGCGGCTGGAAGGTGGATAACGCTCAGTTCCTCATTTCGTAAAACAGAACCCGTAATATTTTAGGCCTGGATCTGCAGGAGCAACTTGGTGTAGTTACAACACAGTTGAAGGCTGAATCGGTTCACTTACTGGAGGATATTTCCCAGGATCTGATATCAATTTATTGGAGTTCTTTTTTTGCGAATAAATACGCAAATATTTTCAGTCGTCTAGGCCGATCTAAGCATCATAAAGTTTATACTAACTTTAAACTCCCTCTGGTGCCCCGTCAAATTAAAGGACGAAAAGTTCCAATCCATATTCAGGATAGAGTTGCGAATGAAAAAAACTTCTAATGGAGCAAGGTCATATTGAAAAACTGGACAAGTGTACGACTGATTTTTTCATAGCGCCTTTTGTGTTAACTGCAAATAAGGATGGCTCAATCAAACTCTCCCTTAATATTAAGCCGATGAACGCTCAGATCTGGAAAAACAAGTACAAGATGCCGAACATTCATGAACTCATCGATTCCGCAGCGCAGATTATAACTAGAAATGTACCTGGAAAGGTTTGGTTCACGTCCTTGGATCTGAAGTATGCGTTTAGTCAGTTGCCATTGTCATCGCTAACTAGTAGTCATTGCAATTTTAATGTTTTGTGTGGAGATGCTACGGAGACGTGCCGATTCAAAACCGGGTTTTGTGGTTTAACCGACATGCCTACCGAATTCCAGAAAGCAATGGACTGTAATTTACAAGGGCTAGAAGGTGTCATTTGCTACATAGATAATATTTTGATAGTTACAAAAGGAGATGTCCATGAACATAACGAACTGGTTGAGAAGGTGATGCAAAGACTTGATGTGGAACGCTGGGCACTAAAACTGAGTGAGTGCGAATTCTCTGTTAACCAACTAACTTGGTTAGGGTATGACATTAATGAGGACGGCTACTCGCCTAAATTTTCAAAGATCCAGGCAATTCAATCACTCAAACCTCCGAGAACTCTGAAACAACTACGTTCGTTTATGGGGACGTTAAATCATTTACAAAGGTTTATACCCGATTTACATACCCACACTGTTCATTTTCGGTTATCTTTAAAGGCCTGTAACAAACAGTCATTTCTGTGGGGAGAGGAGCAAGATAATGCCTTCAAAAGCATAATCAATATGATCGCCAAATTCCCTAGCCTCTATCAAAACGACTCGTCAGAAAACTCAAGGGTAAAATGTGACGCTAGCCCTAATGGCTTAGGAGCTTGCCTTGAACAAGAAATCGAACCGGGAGTTTGGGCCCCAAGTGTGCGGAGGCAAAATATAGTACCAACGAATTAGAATTGTTGGCAATTGTTTGGCCCTGCGAACATTTTCGCACCTATCTGTTGGGTACTCGTTTTCAAGTGTTGACTGATCATTAAGCTATCATTTCGGAATGAAAATTATAATAATAAGTCGTATCAATCTCGTCTTACCAGATGGGCAGATCGCTTATTACCTTTCGATTTCGAGGTCATTCATGTTCCCAGGGTCACGTTGGGGATAGTCGATTAACTTTTCGTTATCCTACGTTTTCAGCTCCTGAGCCCTCTAAATACGACGAACTCTTCGTTGTTAAATCCATTGAGGCTTTCCATCAGGCCCTCACTTTTATTAACTCTTATAATTCAACTAAATTGAGGAACAGGTGTTGTTCGCCATCGCAAGAGGGTGTTAAAATCTCGTCGCAGCATCATATTGCCAATTCATCTCAACACTCTCCGGTAGGGGGCGACGAAAAGTTTGCTCAAAGTTCCAACCAATTAAATCACGTTATGCAAATAGGCTGTTTGAATTCTTTAACGAAAGAGGGCGTCGGTTTATGCTCAAAGATATTAACCAATCAAAAACCCGTATGAAAATTGATAATCGTTGACCAGTCTGCCTTACTGAAATTCATTGTCTCCGACCTGAATCTTTACGAAACAGTCATCAATCTCAAATTTTAACAATTGCACATCAAAATCCTAAAGTTATGAATCTACCGCCTGGCACTAATCAAACTAATTTTGACTTAAATTCTACTTTAACTCAACTCGACTCCCAGACTTTATTAAACTCGACAGCTGAACAAGCTGATCTGCTCACGTTCGTGGAAACATTTCCATTCAACTCACCAAAGTTCCGTCGACCAAGTCCGCGTCCGCCAATGAGATTTCGACAGCTGAGCCGAATCTCCAGACTAGATCAGATACGTCAGAACAACCGGACTCGAGAACGAGCTGCCAAAACCCGTTTTGTCGCTACAAGAACCACGTCACGAAAGGATGGCCATACACAGTTGCTAGAGGCTATGAGACGGTGTCGTCTGTCAAAACCCGGAAATGCCAACACTGCCGCAAGAATTGGAGTTCTTGCTGTTAATGGTGGCAAACCTCTTCTTTCGACCTCGAAGAAAGAAATTGTGGGGCTGCCTGGCCTTTTTGATGCGGATCTCTTGGCAGAACTGACGGAGGAGGACAGTTTTCTGGGCCCTATGAAACGAGCTATCATCAACAAAGACATCACATCGTTTAATAAGCTTGGATCTTATATGGCCCAATTATGGACCAAAGCAGCTGTGGTCAATAACTGTGTAGTTATTGATAATAAACTGGCCATACCCGAGCCTCTACGACAAGCTGTACTTACTCGCCTTAACCGCTCCCATCCGGGACAAGAGGCCATGATGACGGCCTCCGAGTATCTC